AGGTTACTTAAACTGACAGCTTTACTACTAACACAGTGGTACTAACTTTTAGAAACTAAAATTAGTAACTACTAAATCGTATAGAGATTTTCGTTCGTACCAACATTACCCCCACTTTTCGGGAAACTGTCGCCTAACCCAAATTCAGCACCGTCGCGTAATAGGGATACGACCCGCATCGATCCACGTGCCGCAGAGCGGGATACAGAGCGGAGATTACCGCCCACGCGAAACACGCGTTGTCGTCTGAATGCACGTTGATCACCGCTTTCTTTACCTTTATCCATTGCGGTATTTCAAACTAACATCCGGCGTGCATGGGATTGCACTTGTTCACGTTCACGATCAGGTTCAATATACGCGACAATGCCCAGCCACTGTCGCGTTCCTGAAACTCATCCAGACCCGCCAGAGTGGCATCGATCACGTATCTGTCGTACCATTCTCGCAAATCGGCCGTAGGAAAGAGCTGACGATTTCCCGTGGCGACGTTTTTTACGTCGGTTTTAACCCCCGCGACGAACTCGCCATTGAAAACTGTGTTGACCTTCAGGCACGCGTGTCTCTCGTGATTGACGCGCACTTGTTCGAGCACCGTGCGCCTCGCGTCCTCGAGAAATAATCGAGGATCGACGTGATTCGAGTTTATAACCGCACCGGTCAGTACGCGACTTTCGAACGCCGTCTCTATCTCCGTCCACGAAAATTCTCTGCTCGGTTCGCCGTGACCGGCGCCCACCTGCGCGAAACGTTGACGCAGAGCGTTTCTCGCTCCTTCCAATCGCGCCACTCGAACAATAAGAGAGTTCAACGTTTCGGTGTACGTCGGGCGGGTTTTTTTCTCCTCATCTCTCTCGCAGACACGCGAGACGCTCTTCGCACCGTCGTTCCCACTCGCGATACGCGTCCGACAAGTCGAGGCCCGTGGCGAATTCGATGAGATCGCGATCCTCCTCCGACATTTTTTTTTATACTTAATCGTCACACATTTCAAACTGACAATCTAATTGCGCGAGGATTAGCGTTCTCTCGCGCTTATATAGCGCCCGCGAGAACCGGGCGAACCCCGATAACGATTTCAACGGCGGATGTACGGGATCAATAGGCCAGCAAATAACCACGCAGCGTTTCCTGGAATAACTTTGACAAATAACCGCGATCACGCGTCTCGCGCGTATCGGCGACGTGAAGAAACGGAGAGACGATCTCCGACGACGACGATGTTTAACGGGATATAAAATTGCACGAGAATTCGCTTTGGCTCGCGCTTATCGCACGACGAATGTCAATAGGGCAGCAGATAACTCTGGAAATAGCTTTGAGAGATAACCGCAATCACGCAAACGGAGACGATCTCCGACGACGACGACGACAAAATGTCGCGTACGTTGTTGAAATTGTTTCTGTACGTACGATTATTGCAATGTAGATTTCAGTAATTATTATTAAAATATAACCTTTGCAAACTTCAAACTGACGATACAATTGCGCGAGGATTCGCGTTGGCTCGCGCTTATCGCTCGGCGAATGTCAATAGGGCAGCAGATAACTCTGGAAATAGCTTTGAGAGATTGAACCGCGATTGACCTAGAGGGGAAATTCGGAGTGGCCCGCCCCCTCGCGCCGCGCCGCGCGAGAGTGGTGGCGCCCCTCGCTGCCCCCCACTATCCCGGGTTAGAAAAGCAGCGGCGGGGCGGCCCCCGTCTGCCAACGCCATCCCCTCGCCCACCGCTTACGGCGGCCCCCACACGTTCCGTTTCCTGCCTCCGACCCGCCGTCAAGTGCGCCCGGTTTCGAATTTCCTATAGTATGGCTACTTACCAGTTGCGACATATGGACTCGAAACAATCACTCTCACAGCGAACAGCGCAAACCGACTAAGAATCTGTCAAAGGGCAATGGAGCGAGTAATGCTGAAAATCAGCCTGAGGGATAAAATCCAAAACGAAGAGATAAGGAAAAGAACAGGAGTTGCCGACGTGGTTGAACGAGCAAGTAGACAAAAGTGGCAATGGGCGGGACATGTTGCGAGAAGCAACACCAAATGGACCAAAATCCTGATGCAATGGAGATTAAGAGAGTCCAAAAGAAGCATTGGCCGACCACAAACAAGATGGCGAAATGACATCCAACGCCACGCAGGAAAGAGGTGGATGCAGACAGCACAGGAGAAAAAGACATGGAAGGAAATGGAAGAGACCTATGTCCAGGAGTGGATGAAAACAGGCTACAGAAGAAGAAGAATATAATAATAAACTTAATAAAAAAATTGGTTGTGGAGCTATCACGGATGGCTCACGAAAATTATATATAAAATTGAAATACACATTTTAAATTTTAATTTAAACAAATATTTACAAAAAAAATTTAAAAAAGGAGATAAAATAAGAGTTGTTGAAAATGTACAAAATACAGGTATTATTATTGTATAATAAGTCTGATTATCAGATTGTCTGATAATAAACTTATTAACTACTAAAATGATTGTAAAAAAGTAGAAAACTCTGTTATTTAATCTAAGACTATTTACATAAAACAGATATTGCTACATTTATTATCGGACATTCTGCGTTTGTCTTTAAGTCTTTCTTAAGTATTATTAATATTTTAATTTTTACAGCTGATCCTCCATATTTAATAGTAACATGTATTGAGGATATTAAAAAATTGGAAGGACGTATGTTTTTAGGGCAATTGGTAAAGAGGATACAAACCCCTAAGAAAAGAAAACTGGATAATAATTTATTACAGCAGGTATAATTCTAAAAAATATTAAGGTTTCTGTCTACTGGCTACTTCTATCCTTGTTTGATTTGATATCAGAAGCGTGAAATCGCATGCCAAAAATTTTTACAGTATACGTTGAAATAAAAAGACATACATAAAACATAATTGTAATTGATTTAGTACATTTATAAAATACCGAACACTTTGGCTTTAATAATCACAACATAGCCACAAAATTAAAGTGACAGTAACAATAATAATAATAAATTATAAATAATAATAATAAATAATAACAATATATTGTTGCATTCGCGTTGGGTTCGCAGCTTCGCCCGGTATTTTCCGCCGTTGAGCGTCTTTAGCAACGGGCGTTGCTATGCGTTGTTGATACAGCCCGGCTGTCAGATTTCCTTCGGACTGAAACTCGAGCGGACGTTTCTGTGATTGTAACATACGCAATAAACCATCCTTTCGTTCCTTAAACCTGTTCCCTTATTCCGCGGATCGCGAGTGAACGCGCGACCGAGTGCGGGAGTGCCTAGAGAGCGTGCGAAAGCCGCCGGAGTGCAACATTTTGGGGGCTTGTCCGGGATTTGAACGGATCGATCGGACGAGCGAGGATTAGACGAGCGACACGAGCTACGATTAGACGATCAGAAATTTCCTCATAGCCGCAAGGAAACGACTCTGGGTAGCGACTCCACAGTCGGACGCCGCGGAGGTGACGACGGAGGTGGTGACCCTCCAGGCGGTGATTCGCGAGATCCGCAACATGCGCGAGGAACAGGCGCAGAGAGAGAGAGAGAATACGCCGAGACGTTCCGCCGGCAAGAGGAAGAGCTCCGTCTTCTCCGAGGGATGAACTCCGCACAAACACAGCTAAGTCCCTCCAATAATAGAGCGTCCGGGGATACGGGGACGCGTTTCGCGCTGTCGGGGGCGAGTGATGTGCGCGCGGACCCCACGGCTTATGCCGCAAATTCGGGAGTGTGCGACGCGCGAGAGAATACGGGAGCGCGGGGCGCGTTTGCGGGTGTAAATGACGTGCGCGCGGAGCTCGGATTTAAGCTCAAGCCCGACGTTTATGACGGATCGGTCCCGTTGCGGGAATTTTTCTCTCAGTTCGAAATTATCACTCGCGCAAATCAGTGGAGCGACGCGTCAAGGACCATTCGCATTGATTTCCTGTTTGAGGGGAAAAGCGCGTTCGATTCTGGACTCTGTCAAAAACGTAGAAAATTTCGAATACGCCGAGCTAAAATCGAAGCTTGAATTGCGTTTCGGGGAGGGGCACCTCTCCCAAAATTATTACTCTCTCTTCACAAATCGGAGACAGAAATTCGGGGAGGACTTTGCGTCTCTCGGCTCCGAGTTGGAAAGACTTGCCTGGTTGGCTTATCCCGAGTGCCCTTACGCTGTTCGGGACAAGATTACGTGCTCGCAATTTATCTCTGCTATAACGGACGGTTTCGTGAACAGGACCCTTCAGTTGGAGGAAGTTACCTCTTTGAAATTAGTGGTAGAGAGAACGAAGGCCGTTAAGGCCATACAAGGGGAAAGTTTCGGGGGATTTGGGACAAAGAGGGAAATTTTTGGTAAACCTTTCGAAAAAGGGGAAAAGAAAGCTTTGTCTCAAAATGAGGGCGGCGAAAAGTGCGAGGAAAAGAAAGAAGGTAGCGTCCACAAAGATTTTCCGCGCAATTTTCGAAATCGCGTTTCCGCAAAGGAATGCTGGCTTTGTGGGAAAATTGGGCATTTCCGAGCCGAATGTGCCGCGAACACGAAAAAGGGAAACGCGGAATAGTTACTCTTAGCGGGGGGAGAGTGACCCACGCAGATAAAACCCCGGAAGTTTTAATTCGTTCGATTAATAATAAGAGTGATTACGATAATTTTTGTTACCAGGGGAAATTAAATGGGAGGGATTGTTCTTTTAAAATCGATACGGGTTCCGATGTTTCCATTTTGAGTAGGAAGTTTCTCGGAGAGGTTAGAGGGAAAATTCGAGTCGAGAATTGTTCTCTTCGTTATCCCACGGGGGAGAGAGTCCCTGTGGAATTTAAAATGGAGGTAGAAGCTCGAATAGGAAATTTTTCTGAGAAGATTTTAATGTACGTGGCGGAAATTGATGACCAGTGTTTGCTGGAGAGAGATTTCTTAAAAGTCATAAATTTAGAAGGTATTTTTGATTCGTTTTTTGGAAAAAAGGAGTCAGAAATCGAAAGGGTTTTGAGTTGCTCTCGGGTAGCGAATTCTTCTGAAAAAGTTTCTCCTTTTTTGAAGGGGCTATTTGAAAAAGATTCTGAAAATTTGGACGCAAGACAGAGGGAGGTTTTTGCTGGATTTTTGAATGAATTTCAGGATATCTTTTCTGAAGACGTCGTTGCGGGGAATTGTGAAGTCGTTAATCACGAGATTAATTTGAAGAATCCTACTCCAATTAAACAAACTCCCCGACGTGTTCCTTTTCGAAT